TTTCACTCATCCTCATTCTTGGGCCTTTATCTTGAGTAAAATATCTAAAATAGTGGTTCTCAATGGAGTGCCTTTATCCTCCAAGTGGTAGGCGGTTATGAGCAGAGCAAGGACCATGGGCCAAGTACAGAAGGCCACCAGGGTGGGAAGCCCCAGGTGCCTAGCAAGGGACAACTGTAGGGTGGGAGCTCGCCCCCAGGGTGACCTTCTCTGGGCCTGGAGCTGACCCAACCAGACCAGCGACCCCATGGCTGACCTCAGGACCAGCTGCATCGGATAAGGACCCCCTGCCCTGGGGCCGACCAGTCAATCAGTGAAGACCTAGACCCTGAAAGGACACACCAGGAAAGCTGCTGAGAATTCTATTAAGATCTTCCCCTGGGACCTCCCCTGAGATCACCCTTAAAACCTTTCCCTTCCCTCCCCCCACCCTCCATTTCCACAGTGTCCATGGGATCTGAGCCAGTAAGTGCTTGTTCTTCGCGATGACTCCCCAGGTGCGTGTACCGTCACCTTCCTCACTCTCAGGCTCCAAGGGTCCTTCCTTTACCTCTATAACCTGTTTCCTAAGCTCATTTCTTCCAGGAATTACTTTCCCTACCCCTGAGATTTACCAAATAAATGTTCTCTTATAGTTTGGGTCTTGGCTATGAGTTCTTTCCTAGCCAGAACCCAAGTACCAACGTTGCTGAACCCAGGTCCGGACTGACCCCATGGGTCTAACACCGGTGCCGTTCCCGCCGCCTACAGCACCGAGGGGACGTTCGGCATTGTCTGGAGTCATTTTTGGTCGTCACAATTGGGTGAGGGTGCAGAAGCCAGGAATGCTGCTGAGTCCATAGGACAGCCCTCCCCACCAACCCTGCCCCAACCAAGACTGATCTGGTCCCAGTGTCTGTAGGGTCAAGGTTGAAGAACCCTGATCTGAAAGGACAAAGAGCCTGCACATTTCAAGATGTTTAAAGCAGCATAATTTTTTAAAGAGTCGTTTATTGATGTTTAGAGAGAGAGGGAGGGAGAGGGAGAGGGAGAGAGAGAACACATTGGTTGGCTGCCTCCTGCATGTCCCCTACTGGGAATGGAACCTGCAATCTGGGCAAGTGCCCTTGATCGGGAATCGAACTGGCAACCTCCCGGTGCACAGAACAACGCCCAATCTACTGAGGCACAGTGTCCAGGGCTATCGCTGCAAAATTTAGATCAACAAAACATCTAGGCACTATCTACCTACTTAGAAAATAATTATATTAAGGATATGAAATTCAGTGGACTCTAAAGTGACCATTTAAGAAGATAAATACCACAGTTCTTTAGGAATATTGAGATGGATATTACAATTATATATAATTATATATAAGTACATATATATATATGAATTCCTCAAATGATTGAATGTAAAGTTACTATCTGAGTCATCAGTTCCACTCCTAAGTATATACCCGAGTGAGATGAAAATGCACGTCTGCATTTTGCTGCTCCCCTACCCTGGTTGAATCCAACATGAAGCTGGGGAACCATAAGCCAGTCTATGCATAAGCCATAGAAGTCAGCCTCCCGGGCACTGAGCCGGGTGGAGAGGATGAAGGGTGGACCTGAAGATTTCCAGCACAAAAGGCAACTACAGTAGGTCCTTGGGTTACGTCAGAGATCGGTTCCTAAGGTGCCATGTAACGCGATTTTCGCCGAAAGCCTACATAAGCACCTACACCACTCACATGGAGCACATACACAGCAGTAATGAAGTGAAACAGTAAAAAAAATTTAAAAGAAAGATAACAATTCCTGACCTTTACTTGTGGTAAATAAATAATAAAAACATAAAGCACATATGCACATACGTCGAAATGACGAAACTTTTTTTAAAAAATATATTTTATTGACTTTTTACAGAGAGGAAGGGAGAGGGATAGAGAGTTAGAAACATCAATGCGAGAGAAACATCGATCAGCTGCCTCCTGCACACCTCCTACTGGGGATGTGCCCGCAACCAAGGTACATGCCCTTGACCGGAATCGAACCTGGGATTTTCAGTCTGTAGGCCGACGCTCTATCCACTGAGCCAAACTGGTTAGGGCGATGGAACTTTTTTAAAAAAATATAAATAAATGGGAGATGGTGATGTAACTACAAAACAATGTACGTAGAGTCCGACGTAACCTGAGGACTGCCTGTATCCGTTAGTCATCAAGGAAATGTGTCCATCCAATGGATTAACTGAGTTAATGCATCTACACACATAAGGTCAACAAAGAATGGGAATGGAACCACACATGACCCACGCCTTCAGCGGTACCACGAGACAGAGAACACAACAACCAACAAATTACCTGTGAGCCCAAACGCCAGTTCCAGCAGATTTACTCTGCCATTGCCAGTCTGTAGGAGGGAGCAGCTGGGGAGGGAGGCTTAAAGGATTCAGTAACAAGAAGAAGGAAGGAGAGGGAGAGGGGGTGGAGAAGGAGAAAGCAGAGGTCACCGACAAAATCAGTCCCAGAAGCTTAAGTCCAACTATGTGTCCAACTGCTGTATGGTGGGAATGGCACCAGCTGTTAGACCTATGGGGTCAGACCGGACCTGGGTTCAGCAACCTTGGCTCTTGGGTTCTGGCTAGAAAAGAATTCAGAGCCAAGACCCAAACTATGAGGCGATTTATTTGGTAAAGCACAGAAGTAGAAGTAATTCACAGAAGAGATGGGCTTAGGGAAATGAATTATAGAGGCAAAGGAAGGGCCCTTGGAGCTTGGGAGCCAGGAAGGTTATGGTAACACACCTGGAGGAAGGGAGGACGAGGGGGAGGAACAGGGGGAAGGGCCCGCTGGTGTGCTACCAGGAGGGAGAACTGCTGCCAGGAGGGAGAGCATGCTGGGTCCTCAATCCTAAGGGTTTGAAGGGTGATCTTAGGGGAGGTCGCAGGGGAAATCTCAATAGACCATCCAGCAGCTTTCCAGGGGTCCTTTCAGGGTTGTGGTCTGCATTGATGGATCCATGGGCCCCAGGGCAGGGGGCATTACTCAATGCAGCTGCTCTGAGGTCAGCCATGGGGTCGCTGGTCTGGCTTGGCTGCTTCTCTGGGCCTGGAGGTGAAATATAACTGGGGACTAGATTTTATCTATGGGAGGAAAGGTCAGGGGGTCCAAACTGCAAGACCAGCGATAGGCTAGGGGAGGAAAGGCCACCCTGGGGGCGAGGTCCCGCTACAATTGTTCTTTGCTTGGCACCGGGGGCTTCCCGCCCTGGCGACCTTCTGTGTCCATGGTCCTTGCTCTGCTGTGCCTGTCTGACTGCCACCACACAAATGCTGAGCCCAGACCTGGGGCTTGGCCATTCCCCACACCAGCTCCAGGGAAGGGGGTTCGAGGTGAGTAGGTTAGAGCTGGCAGCCTCAGTACAGCAGCGCTTCTGGAAGGACTCGACCAGCAGCTGGAGTGGCCATCCCTCCTGCCCTTTTCATAGATGCAGGCCCTTCTCCCATGTAGTCCCCTGCGGGGCCTCTCTCCATCCTCAGCGGCCCCCATGCCTCGAACTCCGCTTCACACATGGCTGGGTTTGTCGTCTCTCTCGCTGCCACTTCATCTCTGCACAGTCATTCTGTGGTGTGTGTGTGTTTAAATGAACTCCCCTGAGCTCAGCGTCCTCATCAATAGCAGTAGTTTTGTCACTCTGTACCTGGCAGGCGCTATTTTTTTTTTAAGGCAAGATTTGCTTAGAAGCCACAGCGTCTGCCCCGTGACGCCCTCTCTTCACTTCTGTCACAAGCCACCTGCCTTCCTGGGTGACCAGGCCCCCTCAGCCTGCCGCTTGTTAATTCGGGTCATCTGGAAGGGGTGGTGACTCTGGTCACGCGTACTTTCAGGGGGTTAATCTGCCGTGTCTCTTCCCAGGGCCGCTTTTCTTCGCAGCCTCATTTGTAATTGCAGATGAGAGGTCCTGACCGGCTGCTAACGGGAATTAGACCACAGATGAGCAGCCCCGGGAGGCACGAGGGAGGGCAGTCCTCACACCTCCAGGACCCCACCCAACAGATAACCATCCCCCGTTATCCCTGCCTTTTCCGTTATACGTTGGCCTGGTGACGGAGAAGAGGTGTTGGCACCGGGAGTCATTTCTGGATGACTTCATCTCTAGGCCTTGCCTCTCAAAATTCCAGCCAAATCAGCTCTACCCTTTAAGGGTTGGAAGCAGGGTCAGCATTCCAGAAGTTCCTTGTCACACCCAGGCTTTCACTGAGGTGACATTGGAGAATTGGCATCCTGGTGCAGAGGTTGTGGGTGTGTGTGTGTGTGTGTGTGGGGGGGGGGGTCTTGTCCCTGCCCCACACTTGTCTTTCTGGCTGGACCTGCGTTGCTGGAGGAAGACCTCTTGCGTTGAATTGGCTCGGGGAGATCAGCACCATGGACAGCGATCAGGGCGCAGGGGAGATCCACCTGCTGGAGATCAGAGCAAAGGAACTGGCGACAGGAGGGAAGATGCGCTGCAGCGGTGGGGTGCTGCTGGGGCTGTTCTCGCTCTGAGTCACCCCGGCACCCTCACTTGTGTAGGGCCCCCATAAGCTGGCGTCCTCCCTTCCCTTTCCAGGAATGGTTGTGGGTGGGGAGGGAACGGGAAAGTGCCACTCTAAGGTCCCGGGATTTTTGCCGGGAAATGGAAGGGGAGGTGAGATACACCCCTTCCCCCCCCACCCCCTCGCGCCCCGTGCTCCTGCCTTCTCCTCCCCAGCAAGGCCCATTTCTATACAAGGCCTGCTCTCCTCTGCCTCCAGCCCTGGTGAGTCGTGTCCCAGGCACTGAGGGGTGCATTCCCCGGCCCTGAGCTCAGCGGGTGGGAATGTGACTGATAAATCAGAGATAACCCCAGAGGGCAGGGCCTGTGGGCACCCAGGCTCGGGATAAAAGGCCCTGGGTGCGGGCGGATCCAGGAGAGTGCCCGCCCGCGGAACGGGAGGTGAGCCGGTAAACCCCGACAGAGCAGCCGCAGCAGCTTCTGCCCGCTTCCCCAGCAACATGGACCCGCAGACGGGGCTGTCCAGGGCGCTCTTGCTCCTTCTGTTCTTGCACCTGATGCCGCTAGGAGGTCGTTCCCACCCGCTGGGTGGTCCTAGCCCAGGGCCCCCCTTGAAACTGTCCAGAGTCCAGGTGAGCAGTGCAGAGCTGCATACATGCATCGGGACTGGATACTGGGCAGCCAAAACGAGCAAGTCTCCGCCTACCGTCACAGAGGTCACCTTGGAAACCAGAAAGTGGCGAGATTGGGAGCCAGGACCCTGTACCCGAGTGGTCGGTTCCCTTGGGCACCATCGAGGGTGGTTGGGCTCAGGTGAGGGTTCCTGAGGCTCGGGCTCTTCCCATCCATTGCAGGAGCTGCGGGACCATCTTCCGGGCACAGTTGGGGAGTGGCAGGAGGAGCAGACCACCCCGGAGCCCCTCCAGCAAGGACGCAGTTCTAAAGCAGCCGGGGCGGCCAGGCAGGCAGCTTCTGCTGCCGGCCTTGGGCCCCGTGACCATGTCCTCCAGAGCCCCAAGAGGATGCGTGACTCGGGCTGCTTCGGGGGCAGGATGGACCGAATCGGCTCCTCCACTGGCCTGGGCTGCAATGGTGAGCTCCCTCCCAGCCACCCTGGGCACACCCCACACCCATTACCGTGGGTTCCACCAATGCAGTCACACCTGGGTATGGTGTCTCTTGGGACCACACCCTGAGAAAGGGCCGCCTGGACATCACTCCCTCTTGCTGACGGTCCTCAGGGCCAAGGGGGGCCTTTCTGGGACTACATCCCTGTGGACACCAGTCATGACCAAGCCCACAAGACTCACCTACCTTGCACCCACCACCTGCCTCTGTTGTCACAAGCACAGAAATGCTTCCGGGTGGAGTTCAGTCCTACCTGACAGCCCCTCCTTGGAGCAGAGAGAGCCCTAAATATTTTCCTCCTGGTTTCCCCTCACCTGTTTGTACCTGCAAAGACTGAGGGTGGGGTCACCAGGGCGGCCACAATCCCGTTTACAGTAGGAAACTGAGCATCCAAGAGATGGATTATTCCAAAGCCTCAAACATCCAGATCGGCTGAGGATGGGGCGGGGCACGGCGGTGGCAGGGATGGCGCTCGGGGAGAAGCTCGGATCCGCCTGTCTCCCTCGCCAACACCATCACCACCCTCTCCCCCCACAGTGCTGAAGAGGCATTAGGAGCAAGTCCTGGCCGCAGAGATCTACGCCCGACTCCCGATCGACCCCCTGGTCCCCATCGGCTCCCTGGTCCCCTTTGAAGCAACTCCTATTTATTTATTATTTCTTAATTTATTGGATTGTTTTATATAAGACGGTTCTTACCTTTGAGCCCTAATTTTCCATGATGAGGTAAAGTCCACATTAAAGCTTTTTCTTTGGAAACCGACTTGTCTCCGTGTATTCAAAATAATTCATCATAAAACAACCAAAAGCACCGAACAACAACAACAGCCCCCAAACTCCGCGTTTGCTTGGAGGTCCCAACGGTGTCTTACTGGTGGGGACACAGCCTCAGCGCTGGGCAAGCAAGGGGGGGGGGGGTTGGGGGGACTTTCTTTTCTTTTCTGTTTTATTTTATTTATTTTTAAAATATATTTTTATTGGTTTCAGAGAGGAAGGGAGAGGGAGTGAGAGATAGAAACATCAATGATGAGAATCGTTGATCGGCTGCCTCCTGCACGCCTCCTACTGGGGATTGAGACTGTAACTCAAGCATGTGCCCTGACCGGGAATCAAACCGTGGCCTCCTGGTTCATAGGTCGACGCTCACTCAACCACTGAGTCACGCCGCCGGGAGGTGGGGGGAAGCTCTTTTCTCCTTTAAGAGTCTTCATGCTCTGAAATGTCTAGAAATACCTCAAGCAATTGGGACACTTCCCAGAGACTGTTTGTGCAGCCTGAGGGCGTGTCCCACTGGTCTTTCCTCTACCTGCGATTCCGATTCCGTCAGAGGCCCTCTCCCTGGTGCCTGCCGTTTCCAGAAGGTCTAAGCCCGTGGTCGGCAAACTGCGGCTCGTGAGCCACATGCGGCTCTTTGGCCCCTTGAGTGTGGCTCTTCCTAAGCCTTAGGAGTACCCTAAGTAAGTTAATAACAATGTACCTACCTATATAGTTTAAGTTTAAAAATTTGGCTCTGTTGACTAATGAGTTTGCTGACCACTGGTCTAAGCTAACACCTCCGAGATTAGGGGCGGGGAGAGAGAGAGAGAGAGAGAGAGAGAGAGAGAGAGAGAGAGAGAGAGTGTGTGTGTGTGTGCACAAGTGCCAAAACACATCTCATTTGCACTCCTGAATGGGGGTGAGCCCTCCATCCTCCCCCAAACCCCAGCTTCACGCCTTCAATTCATGACATCGTCTGAAAGATGCCTTCAACCCCCCCCCCCGAGTTTTACAGTATTTTCATTTCCCAAACACTCCAGCTTCGCAGAGTCGAACAAGAGGCCCAGTGTTTCAGGGTGCCCCTCCCCTGGGCCCTGCGGCATCACTTCCTCTCTGCCCTGGAGAGAGAAGCCCCTCATTTTCAGGCAGAAGAGGAGACAAGCACCAGAATCCTACTGTGCTGCCTCCGTCAGCAGGGGGTCCCGGGAGGGGTCCCGGCCCTGTCCCTGGGGGCACCCCTCCCCCCCCCCCGCCCCCTGCATTCTAGGCATCCCAGGCCACGCTGCTGAACCTGCACCTGCTTTTCAGGTTCCCGGGGCCATTCCTCTTATGACCCAACTCAGCAAAGAGGCCGATTGTTATAACACCCATTTTACAGATGAGAACACTGAGACCCAGAAAAAGGAAGCTGTCCTACCGTCAGCAGGCAGCCGCTCAGTGCCCGTGCTGAGATTTGAGCGCAGACCCCAGGGACTCTTCCGCCTTGCTCTCTCTTGGAGCTCTGGCCTCGAACTGCACTCGCACAGTCATTCTGCTCGTCTCACCGACGTGTCTTTGAGAGAAAGGGAAGGAGCGGGTCTTTCGTGCTGTTTCTCACTGTGACCCGCTGCGCACCAGAGATCACGGCTACCTAATGAGATCTACTGAGAGCTATAAATGAGGCCTTAGGAGCAACTCACTTGCCGATAAAACGGTGAGCCAGCTTCCCCTGTGTTCCTGACAACAGCTCTATGAAGAATTCTAGTTACCTCCCACTTTACAGATGGGGAAACCGAGGCACAGAGAGGTGATGGAATTTGCTCAGGGTCATGAAGTGAGTGAGTGGCCGAGACAGGATTCCAGCCCTCCCAGCCTGGCCCCGGCACCCAGGCCCCTGACCACGGCACCACCCGGCCTCCCCATGCCGGTGAACCAGGCTTGCTGGGGGGATGGAAGTTTCATTCGGTGCCACTGCTCCCTTCCTCCCTGCTCAGGTGATGAAGATAAACCCCTCCCACAACACCCAGCCAGGCCTTCGCAATCCTTCCAGGTGGGTCTGCTCTCCCATCAGCAGGGCTGCGGGGGTGGCGTCTGTACGATACAGATCCATCATTGGGGGGTTCCAGGAAAGAGGACCCTGAGCAACTGTGAAGGAGCCACATGTGACGGGCGGGGGGCTGAGGCCCCCAATGAACTGACCGCTCATGGAGCGCCCTCTGTTTGGTGTTTGTGGGCAGCATGGCGGCACACACATGATCTGTGATGCCCCATAAAGCCAGCCTCCTTAACCTGTGCCCCCTCGTAGCTCTAACCGTGGCCATAACCCCCCTGACTTCCCTATTGCCAACCTCCTCCCACGAAGAAGCTGCCGGATGACACATCTCCAGGGATGCTTGTCCCTTGAATCTTCCCAGAAAGATGTGTTGGTGGAAACGCACCCAGGGAGGGCTGGCCCGTGCTGGTTCGGTGGGGGGAGGACAGGCTGTGCTGGGCCCCAAATGTTAAGAACCAGGACAGCCTCGGGCCTGGGTGCTTTATCTGGTCGCTGAGCCTGCACCTGTGACCTTCTCCAGGTGTGCTCAGACCGCTCCTCCCTGGGGCAACTTTGACCCTTCTGAGCAAGAAAAGAAAAACAGGCATTTCTCTTCCTGCAGAGCCAGAGCTAAACAAAATCACGAACTTGGCCATTTGTCTTTGTTTAGGGTGTGGTTCTCAGCCTTCTGTCCCTGCTTCCTTCGGATTTTTCACGCTCAGCTTTAAGGATCAGTCTGATCCCACCGAGTGGCCTGTTCTCCCACGGGGTCAGGCGCCAGCCCCAGGCAGCTGCCTGGGTGTCCTGAAGCATTTCCGAGCCCAAACGAGGTGCCTGTCCTGGGACCCGGGCTCCCAGCCCTGAGCCCGGAATGCTCTCCCCTGTGCTGGGCACAGCCCTGCCCTCTCAGCCTCAGGGCACCCGGCCGCAATCCATTCAGCAGTTCGCACTTTCTCCCCCACCCCCACCATCCCGTATTTTATTTTATTATTTTTTTGTTAATTGTCTCATAGATTTTTAGGGAGAGTGGGAGGGAGGGGGAGAGACAGAGAGAGACATGGATTGGTTACCTTCCGGTGCTCCCCGACCAGGGCTGGACCGAGCCTGAAACTGAGGCACGTGCTCTTGACTGGAATTGAACCCGGGACCCTTCAGTCCCTGGGCCGACGCTCTATCCACTGAGCCACACCGGCCAGGGCCAGCAGTTCCCACTTTCCGCTGGCTGCCAGAGCCCACGGGCTCCCCTGGGGAGGGGAGGCGGTGCACTCAACCAGCATCCGGCAGGAGTTGGCGCTTACAGAGCCCAGCGCCCTGGATTCCCAGGTGGGACCCATCTGAGCCTGGTTCCCAGAGTTCCCTGCGGGGAGGGAGGGTAGAGCTCCATTGCCCCAGGTGGTCACTGACTTCCTTCGTAACCTCGTCCCTCCCCCACTCTCCTGGTGTTTCCTGGCATTTCCTCCAAAATAAACAACTTTTGCTGGAATCCTTGTCTCAGGTTCAGGAGACACTCAGGGTGACTCCACCTTCGCCCCGGCCCCGCCCTCGATGATGAGAGCCCTGGGGACCTTCCTGGGCTCCCTTCTCGGCTGAACCACCCAGGCAGGCACCGTGTCCACCCCCTCCCTCCTGGGCATCTCCTGTACCTTGTCCTGCGCTGCCGTCCTGGCTTAGACCCTCACCGCTTGTGCAGCTTCCTCACTGGCCTCTCGTCCCCAGTTCCTGATCGGGTTCTTCCCTCACCAGGGAGAGAGCAGAACCTTCATGCTTCAGCCCGAGGGCGACTCCCCGTCCCCGTGAGGCCCCCAGGGAGGGCCAGGTGCCCGTATGTACGTGGGGCAGGGCGTGTACAAGAGGCACTGAAGGCAAACTCACTGATCCAATCAATCATCCAGAAAATGAGTGGATGCTTTGCTAAAGCAGCAGCACGTGCCGGCTCTGTGCTGGGTGCTGGGATGCAGCTGATCCATGCACAGCCTCAGAGCTGCTTAATCTCAGTGCACGGGGTGACACCCAACCAACTGAGCCGCACCAGCCAGGGTGTGCTGTTTGACGTTGGTAGGTTCGGGGTAATTTGTTACGCAGCAACGGTTGACGGATACACTACCTCACTTCCCTTTCCCCCTCGCTCTTGCTGCCCTTGGACCAGAACCCCCATAATGCTTTATGCAAATGAATTTTCCCGTGGGCTTTGTTTTCTAGGGGACCCGTTCCCGCTTCCCATCCCAGGAACCTCCGCATTGTACCAAAGGAACAGAACATCGTGTTCAAAGCCAGAAACAACCATCCCTCCATATGCAACAGCGTCCTACCCATTTCTCCCAACGGGGCCTTCTGCTTTAGACCACTTGGGTCTGACAGACTCGTGCCATGAACAGGGTGGCCTTCTCATACCAGTTATGCACATGTGACACCCCTGGACCCTAGGGCTCCCCAAAGCTGCCCACAGCATCTCCTATGGAGATACCCCAATTCTGGACTCTCCCACCCATTTGCAATGTTCATTCAACAGACGACCAACACGGTGGCTTCTTCCCAGGGGTAAGGAACTAAAGGCTTTGGTTTGGCAGCCAGTGGGAGAGGTGGGGGTGGAGGTGGGGCTGGATTTGGTTTCCTGTGCCTTTTGCTCTTCTTCTCTCACTCTTACAGGCTGGCCCCTAAACATCCCATTGCATATTTGCTCCTCCATACACCCCCCCCCCAAACTGAGCAGGAGCATGGAAAGGAAGAGAAGCTTAACACCAAGTCCGTTCTAGGCGCAAGCCCCTGGATTTCCTGGGATCGGGGGACACGTGTATTTGGGAATTGCCTGTGTTTTATCGGGGTCCCGTTAGTGCAGGAAGTGGTATTGGTTCTATACAAAGTCCTCAGGGCAGCAAAAATGTTTTTTTTCTCCCAGTCCCTTCTGTGAACAAACAGACAAAGCCTGGCTCACCAGACACTCGGCGGCTGACACTGGACGCCCATCCCAGCTCCACTCTGGGAG